TATCTAACAGCCTTCCCTCCTGTCCCCTCCCACCCCTGGTAATCAACAAGGAAAATTTATTTCTATTGATAAACCTCTCCTCAACTTTTACAATAACGGATTAATACAATATTTGTCCTTTTGTGATTGATTTATTTCACTCAGCATTATGTCCTACAAGTTCATTCACGTTATGCGGTGTTCTGCAGATTCTTCATTATTCTTTAGTGTTGCATAGTATTCCATTGTGTGTATGTACCATAGTTTGATTATCTATTCTTCTGTTGATGGGCACATAGGTTGTTTCCATCTTAATTGCTATTGTACATAGTATTTCAGTGAACATGAGTGTGCATATGTCTGTTCTTGTCCTGGCTCTCACTTCTTTAGGATATATACCTAGTAATACAATGGCTGGGTCAAATGGTATTTCTAATTCTAGCTTTTTAAGGAATTGCTATACTGTTTTCCACAGTGGTTGTATCATTTGACAGTTCCCCAAGCAGTGTGTGAGAGCCCCAATCTCTCTACATCCTTGCCAGCGTTTGTTTTTTTCTGTCTTGTTGAACTTTGCCATTAGTGCTGGGGCAAGATGGTATCTCGTTGTTTTGATTTGCATCTCTCTGATGGTTAATGATCATGAGCATTTCTTCATGTATTTGCTGGCCGCCTGAATATCCTCTATGGTGAAGTGTCTATTCATGTTTTCTGCCCATTTTTAAATTGAATTGTTAATCTTTTTTTTTTGTTGTTTTTGTCTAGAAATCTTAGCGATAAGTCCCTTGTCAGATATGTAATTATCAAAGCGTATGAATTTGTTACTATCATTTTGTTATGTACTTTCTCATGGTGTTCCTGATTTCTTTGTTCTATATAATTTTCTGTGCTGAGCTTGTTTTGTTTATGAATCGTGTTATCATTTCCTTTGTTGCTGTTGTTTTTGTATTTGCTGAATATTTGTGCTTGTCCTCTTTTTTATTTTGATGTGAAGGTTTATCATTTTTCTTTGAGGTTACCTTATGATTTATAATTTTCTTCCCAAGTTTAGGACAGTCTGTTCTATCTTGTAGTTGTCTTGACTTCCCTACATTTTTGAAGTTCTGTAACTATATACTCATGCTGTACACTTTCTATGCTGATTTAATCAGGCCTTCAAATGGCTTTATAAGGCCAGTAATAAGACCATCTGCAATTTTTGTTTGAATTTTTATGAAAGTATATAATGGTATATTTTTTAACACCTGTATTGAGATACAATTCAGCTACTATACAATTTACCCATTTTAAGTGTACAGTTCAATGGTTTTTGGTATATTAACAGAGTTGAATGACTGTCACCACAGTCAGTTTTAGAACATTCTCATCATCCCAAAAAAGAAACTGTATACCCATTACTATTCATTCCCCGTTCCTTTTCTATCTTCTGTGTATATACTTGTCTTATGTCTATTCTTGTCTTTTTATAACTTAAGGATGTTAGGTTTAGGATCTATCCCGCGCTAGTGTGACCTCATTAACAAAAGAAAACTTTTTATTTCTAAACAGGATCGTATCCACAGGTAATACGGCCAGGAATCCAACACATATCCCTGACAGGCCAGAACTTCTGGGTTACTACCATAATGGCCTGACTATATTTTTATCAAAGCATTATATTGTTTGTCTATCTGTCTCAGTAGTTTAAACTTTTTAAAGGCAGAGACAATGTGTTAATAATACTTCCAGTACTCAGCACATTGTCTAGCACATAGTAAGTAAGCATTTTAATAATTTTTTTACTGAATGAATGAAAGAATGACAACCTTGACAGCCTTCCTGATATTGTTTTTTCCTTGCATCTGGGCCTGGCTTGGCCCTGCCCAGGCTTCCCAGAGATGGAGTCTCTGACAAGGAAACTTGGACAAGGACCTGCTATTGATCTCTTTGACCACCTACCTGGATCACTTATTGTTGCCTTTCTCTGCTTTCATCTTAGATGTTTCTGTGGCCATCTTTCCAAGATTCCTTGTTGACCCTCCTGACATCGACTCACTGCCTGGACTGCTATCTCCACACTCTCACTATTCTCTATCTTGAGATTTAGCCTGCTCCTGAGTAGGTTAGGGAGTTAGCCTGTTGTTGTTGTCATGTGCCATGGAGTCAGATCCAACTCATAACGACCCCTCCTTGGGTTTCCAAGACGGTATCACTATGGAAGTAGATTGCCCAACCTTTCTTCTGAGTAGTGGCTGGTGGGTTTGAACTGCCAGCCTTCTGGTTAGCAGTCAAGTTGTATGCTACCAGAGCTCCCGGGAGTTAGTCTAGGGTGGGATCAATCAGGCAATCTAGTTTAGACAACTGCATCCATTGTTGTGGAGGTCAGAGAATAAGCATGGTATGGTAGTTAAGGTTGTATATCAATTTGGCTGCGCCCGGTTTTGAGTGGCTGGGAAGCTGGATGTGGTTATTCCCCATGATGAGACTGGTAATCAACTTCATAGTGAAATCTACTGTGAGCAGCTGAGTAGCTGCTTTAGGGATGTGGTCTGCTTCCAGTATATGTTGTTGTTGTTGTTGTTGTTTTGCCATCGAGTCGGCCCCGACTCATAGTGACCCCTCCTTGGGTTTCCGAGGTAGTATCACTACGGAAGTAGGAATGCCCAACCTTCCTTCCGAGGCTTCCAGTATGTAGCTTCCAGTATATAGGAAGACATTTTGAGAAGGGTCTTGAGCTTTTTGGCACATCTGGATCCTGCTTTTGGCTGAGTCTTCATTTTAGTGGCCTGCCATATAGTCTGCCATTCTTAAGACTATTTCTGGACTTGAACTAGCAGCGTGCCATGTTGCTTGATTATCTTGGGACTATACCATTTTACTTGTTGACTTTGGGTTTATCAGCCTTAGCAGCCAGCAGCTGCTTGCGTTATGAGACACCTCTAGCTCCAGTGGGCTGGGAGCTAGAAGCAGAGCTGAAGCCCAAGGTCAAGGGACCTTCACCCAGCCCCTAGAGCTGGCACATTGAACTTGTACTTCTGGCCTCCTAAATTGTAAGAAAATAAATCACTGTTTGTTCAAGTCATACAGTTGTAATTTTTGTTAGAGTGGCACTAGAGAACCAAAAGACCTGGCTATCTTCAACAGGAGATTCCAAAAGTAAATTCTTTTTTATTCATTGTTGACTGATCGAGTGTGGAAAGAGATTGGTTTTGTAGTCAGAAGACTCTTGTTGAAAGATAGGACTTCACCACTTAC